GATCGTATATGTCTATCTTGTATCATTAATAAAAGTTGTAGGGTACTAAAGCCTGAGGAAACCTCGGCAGAAAGTCGTAAAAATAATTGCTTTTTGTTGGCTCTATATAGTTTAACCAAGAACTCCAATATTTAAAGTAGGCAAACAATAATTTTCCAAATTATATTTATAGTTATATTTTATATTTGTCAATAATAGAAACAGTAAAGCACTAAAACCTGAGGAAGCCTCAATAAAGATGACAGAACGTCGCAAAATACAATTGCTTTTTATCGACTCTATAATCTTTAATTGTTAAGAATCCCAATAATTTAAAGTAGGCAAACAACAATTTTTCAAATTATACTTATAGTTAAGAAATGTAAAATAGTAAAAACTAACCAATATCCAGGGAGCAGCGAAAAGGGGTTCCCGCATCTTCGTTCTGGATTCGACCTTTCCCAGGGCTGCAACTTCTAGCGTAAATATTCGGTGTTTAATAACAATCACGTATGAAGCACGTAAACTCGCGGGTACAGCTGTTTTCTGTTATTATAGCAGCAGCTTTGGACGTTTCGCGTCCACTGACTCCCAGCCGTAGAAGTTGTAAGGCGGTACGGCCTGCGGCAGAACGGAACGGCTATTAAACGTCTCGAGCGGTACGAGAGTAGTGGCGAACTGTCGCAAAACCAGAGGTCATGTTAAAGTGTAGGAGGCAAGGTTAATTAAATCGCTCACGATAATGCTTTAAAAGCCTACTAGGTACGTTCTTATGTACGAAGTGATTCACGAAAAAAGTGCGAAAACGTATACTCACGTCAGATTACGAGAGCTTTGGGAAACGTATTACTTACGTTTCCCACACCAGCCGCGCCTACACGTGCACGATAAACTTCTTCAGTTCTATTATCTTATGTGGATTGAACCTCGAAATGAAAAGATAGAGAATTAATAAAAAATAAATGCAGGCGCCAACAAATACGAAGTTGTTTCGGTTTGTAAAGAAGTTATAATGCCAAAATGATCGGACACGTCAACATTAGTATGTTATAAATTTACGGTGACTTCCCTAGCACCCCCGGCAGGGCAAGAACCGCTCTTAAAAATTCAAATGGTAAGGGGGTCGAGTGATATATGAAATTAAAGGTTTTTGAAAGGGTTTTATGGTAATACCAAAATTTATTATATTGAAGGAATTGTTTGCGAATGAATAGTATATTTCTGTATGAACTGTACTTTATGTTACAACAGAATTGAAAATGTTGTGCATTAATTTCCTGGCAGTAAAATAGATTTTCATTAAAACGTTGTCAGACATTTTGAACCATTGATGAACAATACATTCTCACAATAGTTCCAAAGCACTTGGAGGAGGGGCATAAACCTTTAGTTTAGTTGCTTCAATATAATAAATTTAGTATTACTACAAAACCCCTCTAAAAAACATTCATTTCATGAAGCACTCGATGCTCCCAATCATTTGAAATTTTGAGGATGGTTCTTACCCTAACTAGGATGGAAAAGATGTCCTAAATTTATAATATAAAACCGTCCCACTTCATACTAAAGTTGACGAGTGCTAACACTTTCGCATAATTTCATTAAGAATCGAAAAGTTAGCTCAGTTTTAAAAGGACTGAATTTATTTCGATATATAGGATCAATTGGTTAAATAATTGTATTTATTTATTATAAATAATGAAGAAGTATATTTGCTACCTGTAAATCATGACGTAGATACCTATTTCAAATCAAACTTCATTAAAAATATTTTTAG